CTCAGTTTCAAGCTCATGTTAAATTTGTTTGTACCGATAATGGCACAGAGTTTGTTAATAAGTTGTGTGCTTATGTTTTTAAAGATCTAGGCATTATACACCAGAAAAGTTGCCCTTATACACCTCAACAGAACGGCGTTATTGAGCGTAAACACCGATATTTACTCCAGGTTGCAAGGTCTCTTCTCTTGCAGTCTAAGTTGCCTAAATATTTCTGGGGAGAGTCATTATTGACTACCACCTTTCTTATAAATCAACTTTCTTCTCCTTTGTTAAAATGGCAGTCTCCTTTTGAAATCCTATACAAAAAGAAACCTGATCTTACTATGCTTCGTATTTTTGGTTGTCGAGTCTATGCTTTGAACAATGCTCCTAGTAGAGACAAACTTGATCCTAGGTCATTCCAAGGGGTGTTTGTTGGTTATCCACATGCTCAAAAAGGTTACAAGGTGTTTTGTCCTTCCCTAAACAAAATCATTATCTCCCGAGATGTTTTATTTCATGAGGATGTTTTTCCTTCCATTGAAGAAAATCATTCAGATCTTATTGTTCCTCAGTTCAATTTTCCTATCAGTGATGCACCATCTATTCCAAATCAGTCGAATTTCCCGACTGACACATCTTTTCCTACTGGTTCTGATCCTATTCCTTCTGGTTCTTCATCTTCTTTTTCTTCACCTTCTTCTTCAGTCGCCGCCACCACTTAGAGTCAGCACTAGATCAAAACAGCCTCATGTATGGTTACAGGATTTTGAAACTAATTTTTCTTGTATTACGCCTTCTGATGGGTGTTTCTTTTCTGATTCTACTTGTCATTTCTCTCCTTCTTATCAGTCTTTTGTTGCGAATGTGTCTGATTCACTTGAAACTAGTACTTATAACTAGCTAGAACCAATCTTAAATGGATAGCAGCCATGCAACAGGAACTCCAAGCCCTAGAACTCAATGATACTTGGGATCTAACTACTTTACATGCAGGCAAAAAGGCTGTTGGTTCTAAATGGATTTATAAAATAAAGAGACATGCATATTGCTCGATTGATCATTACAAGGCTTGACTTGTAGCAAAGCGTTACACCCAGATTGAAGGCGAAGATTTTTGTGAGGTATTTTCTCCAGTAGCTAAATTTGTTACTGTTAGACTCATGTTTGTAGTAGCTGCTTCCAAGTGTTGGCCTGTTCACCAATTAGATGTGAACAACACTTTTTTACATGGAGACTTGGGGGAGGATGTCTACATGGTACCTCCTTTAGGATATGATAATGCTCAGCCAAGCCAGGTATGCAAGTTAAAGAAGTCTTTATATGGTTTAAAACAGGCTTCTCGTCAGTGGAATTTACAGTTTTCTGCCACCCTGACTGCTTATGGTTTCGTTCAGTCTTATCACGATCCTTGCCTTTATATGTATGTTACCAATCATTTCCAGTTGTTTCTACTCGTTTACGTTGATGATGTTATTGTAACTGGCACTGATGAGTCTGAAATACGAAAGGCCAAAGATTTTCTGCATGATAAGTTCATCATTAAAGATCTAGGTCATGCTAAGTACTTTCTTAGAATGGAAGTGGTTCGTTCTACTTCAGGAATTTATATTAGTTAGCATAAATACACTCTTGATTTGCTTCAGTCTGCTGGCTTGCTTGATTGTACTGTTGCTTCTATGCCTTTTTCTCCTAGATTACAGTTTCTGTCTGATGATAAGGATTCTACTGCCTTGTACTCTGATCCTATAGCTTATCATCTTATTGGTTGCCTTTTATATCTTAACTACACTCGTCCTGACCTCACTCATGCTATACAACAATTAAGTCAGTATGTCCAAAAACCTCGAGCCTCTCACTGGTCTGCTTGGTCATGGTCTTTTCTACTCTAGTAGGTCTTCTCTGTTTCTCACTTCATACATTGATTCTGATTGGGGTGCCTGCCGTAGTTCACGTCATTCCTTGACCGGTTACTGCATTTTCTTGGGGAGTAGTCTCGTTTCTTGGAAGACCAAAAAGCGGAGTATCATGCCATGGCTGTTGCCACCCGAGAAATTCAGTGGATCGTCTATATTCTTAGTGATTTTCAGCTTCCTCCTTCATTACCAGTTCCTTTCTTTTGCGACAGCAAGGCTGCATTCGAGATCACCACCAATCCTGTCTTTCATGAGAGAACCAAGCACATTGAAATTGATTGCCACGTGGTTCGGGATCAATTCAAAGCTGGGTTTCTCCTTCCTCTACATATTTCTACTTCACATCAGCTAGCTGACTTCTTCACTAAAGCTCTTCCAGCTTCCTTTTTTCATTTTTTGCTATTGCTCATCTTGAGGAGGGGGTGAAGAATGATATGAGTCCAGATTCGAACTCAGCACCTCTTGGATGATTAGTCAGACAGCTGGTTGTTAGATGATGTTTTTAGCTGTCTTTAATTATAAATAAGTTGCCAAAGTTGTCCTTTGTTGTAAATGGTAGGAATAAGATTCAGCAACCACACGTGTATATATATACTTAGGGCAGTTAGGTAGTTTATAGAGATATATAAAAAAGGGAGAATAACGCTTTTGTACGGGATAATTGTTTTTAACAGAGATAGAAATTCTCTCTCTATGTTCTACAATTTATCATTTTCTTTGATCAATTACAGAAAGTTATGGTTGTTTTCTTCGATTTCTTGAGAGCCAATGCTTACAAATTCTCATCCTTCTTCGCCACCCATTTCACACAAAAATATACGAAATCATGTTCAATATATGAATTGTAGAGTAATACCAATCAGCCAACAATGGCTTAAAAAAAATTTAGCAAATAAATTAACAAAATTGAGAAAATCCCGGTGCCGCGAGAGTTCTGATGACATGGATTCATATTTCCACTTTGGGTGGAGATTATTGGTCTTTTCTAATCAATATTGGGCAAGACAGTGAATCTGACTTTATACTTGAAAGTTGAATCCCTTGCTGCGATTGTGCTTACGACCCATGGTGTATGGCGGACGCAAGCTATTCTTGTGCTGACGACTTCAGGGATACACCCAACCCCAACTTTTAATTTCTAATTCATAGTTTAATATTTCTGAGTAGATTAACTTGAAGATGGTTGGAGGGTGGATAAAAATTATGGTGAAACAATTTATTTTGCCGTAAGTTTAGGATTGATTTACTAGTTGTAGTGCAATCATCAGATGTGGTGGGGTATTTTTTTTAATTTTAGAATATCTTATTTTAATTTAACGGTTGTTATTAATTATAATCATCCAATGGTTATCAATGTCAACTAAACCATTCAGTCGACTGGACTCTAGTCACTCTCATAAAACATATCATAAACGATTTAGTGGCGCAACGCATCATGGGAATCATTTTGGTGTTTTTTAATGGTAATCATAGTTATGGTAGTCATTATCATTTTAATGGTTTATGACAAAAAAATATATTTGTCAATAATGCCACGGTGGCACGTAGAGTGATATCCCTCGACTTTCCACACGTCATAATCAGGTCGGGCCCCTCTACTGCTGGTTCCAATCTTCCGTCAACCGTAACCGCCACCGCATTTGAAACCTTCCCGTATTTCCTCCACTGGCTTTTTCCGCTTTTTTTTTTTTTCTTTACTCCCAACAAGACCAAATTCTGACGCCACCTCACCACAAACTTCGGTTTCCCTTTACGCCACCTTTGGTCTCCGCCGGCCTATCTTTTTTTTTCTTTCCAATAATTCCTGACTAGATTAATTGTATTTTTGTTGATCAAAATCAAAATGGCTAAACAACAACCGCGTCGTCATTATTTCCAATGATATCACCGTCACCGCCGGTCTTGATTCTTATTGACTACTACGATCGATAATACTCCTCCACCCCCCTGGGCTGGGTTGGTTTTCCTATGCATCCATTTTGTTGCGTTTCCTCTTCCATCCCTGACCCGATGACTCCGCCACCCCCACCTCCGCCGCCCTCCTCCTCTTCCTCACTCAGCAGCACCACAACCGGCGGTGATCACCCTAATAATAATTGTCATAATAAACCGACTAGGGTAAACAATTCAGCTGGGAACAATGGCATCAATCCTCCCCCGTCAACGTCCCAGCCGCCTTCTCGACGTGAGATGATTGTGCCGTTGACTGCGGTCGCAAGTGGAGCGGCCAAGATCAATGATATAGTTGGTAATGGCATTTCGGGAATGTTGTACAAGTGGGTGAATTATGGGAAAGGATGGCGACCCCGTTGGTTTGTGTTGCAGGATGGGGTCCTGTCCTATTATAAGATCCACGGGCCTGATAAGATTGTTCTCAATCAAGAAACTGAGAAAGGAGTTAGGGTGATTGGTGAGGAGTCTTTTAAGAGGATCTCTAGGCCTCATCATCATCATCATCAAAGAAATGTTTCTTTGTCATCCTTGCCTCAAAAGATTCGGAAGCCCGTTGGTGAAGTCCATCTCAAGGTATACCATCAATTCCTTCCTCCATCCTCTTTTTCTTTTTCTTCTTTTTTTGGCTTGGAAGTTCCTTCTAGTCCTTAGCTATTATTTTGGTGATGATAACTTCAGCGTAGTGGACAGTACTAGTTGTTGAACTGTTGTTTAGTTGAGACTGTAAGATTTTGCTTGCGATGGACATTAGTTGTCTTCTTATTGGTCGTTTTCTTTGTGTGTTTTTCTTCCCTTCTATGAGCCCCAGTGGACGTGCACTGCTGTCAAGCTCGGTATAGTGAAACTTCAACTACTGGATTGTTTAGGAACTTTGTTTGGTTGGTTTTGTTGTAATAGATTGACTTTGGATGCTTCGATGCAGCATAGTTGTGGAATTTGACTGTGGTATAGAAATCAAACTTCTAAAACTTGTTACAAACTTACAATGATCAACCTACAATTAAATTTTCTTTTACTGTATTCGCAAATGGATGGCCTTTATGTCTTGTGTTTTATGTGCTTTTATAGAAATCAAACTTTTAAAACTTGTTACAATGATCAACCTACAATTAAATTTTCTTTTACGGTATTCGTAAATGGATGGCCTTTATGTTTTGTGTTTTATGTGCTTTTGTCTTTGATTGAGTGGTGCTGGTTAAATTCTTCTCATCCACATCATTTCCTTTTTTCTTTCCCCCCCTCTGTGATGGTTTGATGTTTTGGCTGTGTTATCCAGCTACTTCTTTCATGAGTAATGTAATTCTTCAGTTAGTGGTGCTCCTCTGTAATATACTACTTTTTCTGCAGGTTTCAACAATACGGGAGAGCAAATCCGATGATAGAAGATTTTCTATCTTCACGGGAACAAAGAGATTGCATTTGAGAGCAGAGACGCGAGATGATCGGATAGCATGGATGGAAGCGCTGCAAGCTGTGAAGGACATGTTCCCTAGAATGTCCAACAGTGAGTTAATGGCTCCCTTGGACAATGTCTCCATCTCGACAGAGAAGTTGAGGCAGAGATTGTTGGAGGAGGGTGTGAGTGAGGCTGCTATTCAAGACACTGAACAACTTGTGAGGAATGAGTTTGCGTCTTTGCAGACCCAATTCATGCTGCTGAGGCAGAAGCATCGGCTCTTAATTGATACCTTACGGCAGTTAGAGGTAAGCTTTGTAGTAGGAAAAATCTTATTGTTTAGAATTCTTCTTCAGTTTCTGCTCATAAAATTCTTCATGTGAAAGTAGTTTTTATGTCACTTCAGTCTTGATTTGTTCTCTTTTCCTTGTTGGATCGTTTTGCTATCGTATGGTATGTAAGATTGTGTTCCAGTTCACCATTGTAGATAATCTTTGCTAAAGTTGAGTCTTCGATTTTTTCTTAGGACTGACTTTATCTAAGTAATTGAATGAAATAGATGAATTTTTACTTTACATTCTCTTGTGATAATGTGTTACAGATTTTGTTTCTCAGCACCAGAGAGAAACTACAGGTCATTATGATAATTCCTTTTGTCTCTGTGATGGAAGCAGTTGCGAAGGATGATTAATGATGTGCAAATATTAATTAATTGGTGTCCCTCCCTCCATGTCATATGCATGTGTATTTTCCATTTTCTTGTACTAAGATCATGCATAGTTCTTTTTCAGCAATTTGTCCAACAGTTATAAATGGTACATATTGAGATCATCATGTTCATGGCTTCAACAGAATTTTGATATCATGTGCAGATTTAAGGGGAAATGTTTTTGAATCGGCATCTGATTACTTTCCGTCTAGTTCATTCATTTCAAATCCCATCTAATCTAGTCAGCTCGTATATCAGTTTCAACATTCTCTATCTTTTTTGCCTATGTTTATATTTAGTGGACCAATATGCTGTTCAGTAAGGGCATCGCTCGACATATGACAGTTCTATAAAACTTCCCTTTTAAGCTTTAACCTTACTTTATGGTCACCGAAGCAAGAATCATTTGTTCCAACTTGCTTGAATTCTATGTGTACTGTCTTTATTGGGGGAAGGATAAAAATGAGTGCGTTAACCAGGTATAATAATTCGCTGTACAAGTCTGCAGCATTTCAAGGTTCGTTTTTTGATTTTGTTCTAGATGTGTTGTTGTACAAAGTAAATTGCATCTATGGTTACTTCAGTTGCAGCAATAGATCAAACACTTTCTTGTTTCAACTTTTGATCTGAAGTTTCTTCTCCTGTGGATCTTGTCTTCTGTTGCCTTCATTAAGTGCATTCTTTCTTTGTCTTCACTATTTGGTTGTACCGCTAGAAATAAATGTCTTGCAGTTTTAATTTTGTTGAATATTTCAGACTGAATCTACAAGTTGAAAATCTCCCTTGTGCACAAGATTTCATCTATCTGTAGGCTTGCTGTAGCTTTGAGTAGATAGTTCCTCTCCTTCTGCATGATGTTTCATGAAAGAATATAACAAATTATTGTGGTTTCAATATTTTTTATTGAGTTATTTAGTATGTATAAGCTTCTTTTTATCTCAATGACATTTCACTATTCTAAATTTTGTAGACAGAAAAGGTTGATTTGGAGAATACAGTTGTTGATGAGAGTCAAAGACAATTGAAAGGGGTATATGCTCGAACAAGGCAGGACAAGTACAGTGGTAAGATTTTTGTGGTTGGTTATTTAAGTTTTTCGTCTTAATTCTCTTTGTTTGCATCCTATCCAAGTACACCTATTGGTGGTTCATTACAGATTCTGAACTGAATAATCTTGTCAAAATCAACAGATTGTTCTAATTTGACATCAGGTTATAAAAAACTCAATAGAATTAGAAGTAAAATTATTTTTAACTGCAATGTATACCCATAGATCAAGCGTATTATTTTCCTTCAAAAAGCAATGGCACTGAAGTATATAATGCTTGGAAAAGAAGCAAACAGTAGAAGCTGTAATTGAAATGAGAAAACATTATAAACTATCACTAAAAACGAAAAGGCTTTCCTGATAGTAAGAAAAAAATGAACATGTGTTCTTTCCTGAACATATTAATATATATTTATGTATGTATTTTCAACCGATTTGTTTCTGTTAAGTTTATTTTCACCTATCCGTTGTAACAGATAAAAAGGGTTGCAAAGCCTTATAGTTTATTGAGACTTTGAGTCATAAGGAAGCTCCAATTAGATCATTTTTGTCTTGTGTTGCTGAGCGAATTTGTCTATGGTCTTTGTTACAACCCTTTTTGGAAAGTTTGGACCCCCATAGAGTTGTATAATGTCATTTGTCAGTTCCCGAGTTGCATGTTCTTCCTCTGGAGATTCTATCCCATTCTTCTCCCTTTGTGCTTGTGTTTGCATGACTGTCTGTTTTTCTTTTCCTTACAGGCACAAGCATTGCAAAATCGTAATCTATTACTCTTATTCACATTCATTAATTGTACAGAGATATTAGATAATCCGAAAGGCACAACTACTCTCATGGGGAGTAACATTTGTACCTTGACTTATTACTGGCAACAATTTGTTTGAGTTGATTGATACTCTCTTCCAGAAGCAAGTGCTAGTGAATCTGAGGATGACAATGAAAGAGTCGAGGCGGCGGAGGAGGATACAGATGAAGAGGAGAATACTTTCTTCGATACCCGAGATTTTTTGTCTTCTAGTTCTTTTAAAAGTAGTGGATCTGATTATAGGATATCACCATCTTTCTCATCCGATGAAGATTGTCCTGTTGAATTTGATGATGGCATGGATCCTGCCATTAAATTGGCGGGTTCCAAGTTCCCTTACATTAAGCGCCGCAAGAAATTACCTGAACCAGTTGAGAAAGAGAAAGGAGTTAGCCTATGGTCTATGATTAAAGATAACATTGGGAAGGACCTCACTAGAGTTTGTCTACCGGTTTATTTCAACGAGCCTCTGTCATCTCTGCAGAAGTGTTTTGAGGATCTGGAATATTCATATCTTATTGATCGTGCTTATGAATGGGGAAAAAAGGTACTTTGTTATCAAGGAAGCTGTTATCTAACTTTTCCTAGATCTTTTATGCATTTCTGGTTGTTGATAGTGATCAACTGGGATACATCATTTTATATGAAGCTTTGAATTGATGATGCAGACTGTATGCTTCCTTCTTTATGTTATCGGTTCCTATCAATTTTATGTGGCCCCCGCCCTAGTAATTTCCATAGCTTTATCAAGAAAATGCAATTAGGAGTTTACGTCTAATTTCTTCCTGTGCATTACCCCCACTTTTCACAAGAAAAATATTTCCCAAATGTTTTAACCAAAACAACCCCAAAACTTTTCCCACTAGAATAAATTTCCTTGTGCCCCTCTCCAGAGAAATTTAAAATAGGAAAATCTTAGGTTTTTGTTAAAAGGGTTTTCTTAAATATCGACTTGTCTTTTGAGCATCTTAAATTTGACCGAGCCTGGACCGTACATGACTATTTTTGCATGAATTGCTCTTGGTTTTGGAGATGGCTGTCCTATTAGGTTTTTGGCTTGGTGGTTTTTGCTTTCCATCTTCTGTGATGCTGCCCAGTTTTTCTTTCTATAATTTTTGTAGATTTAATCAGGTGATCATCATATCTTCCAAATCGTTACATTATCCTATGTTTGTGTCTTGCTATTATTCTATAGCTACTTTCTAACGCTCCCTTGTTGCACAATGTGATAGGGTAATAGCCTTATGAGGATTTTGAATGTAGCCGCATTTGCAGTATCTGGATATGCTTCTACTGAAGGAAGAAGTTGCAAACCCTTTAATCCATTACTGGGAGAGACATATGAGGCTGATTATCCAGATAAGGGGCTTCGCTTTTTCTCAGAAAAGGTAATATATATCCCATTTAAATATTGTTCTTCTTCTCCTCTTCTGCAGTTATTTGTTTGTTTTGGAAATGGTGCCTGATGCATTATAATTTGATCTGCTAGTTTGTCAAGGATTCTGGCCTTGTAATCTAATTTCTTATTGAAAATCGCTTGGAAATGAATTTTTGAGTGTAGGAAAGTAAAAAGGATCCCAAGATTTGAGGAAAATCAGAGCTATGTTGTTGGAAGAAAATGAATCCTTATTTCTAGAATTCTAGTTCGTAACTTTGTTCTTTGTATTATGCACACCACTCTATACCAGTCAACTCAAGCTCAATTTAATTTCAAAGTTATCAATTCAAGTTTGGAGTCAGAATTGGAATTGGAACAAGTCTATATTCACCGTTCGGCTCTCGGAGCTCGAATTGTTTGAATTCTAGCAGGCTTAGGTTCGACCGTAATTTGGGTTGGCTCCTTTATGTTCCTACCTTTGCTTTTCGTTATAAAAATGTGTCTATTGGGTGTATCCCAGAAATTACATTCTGAATTAAAATAAAATTACAGTAATTTAGGTAATTGAAGTAATATATATGCATTACTGAATTAAGTTAGTATGTAATTGATCTCTTAATAATTTTCTGCAACATTTAGTTTTCTATTTTGCTCTACTTTCCCGTGATTAAATTTCTGGAAATAGTATTTCTAAACAAATTGCTTCCCGCAAACCCAAGGGTGTCCAATTGTTTCAGGAAAGCATCAGTACTTTGATGTCTGATTGCTAAACCTGTTCAAGATTCTACAGTGATGCAAAGAGAAAGTAGATAAGTTCAAATTCTTTTACATTTTAATAGCAGTTCTACTAATGTTTTTACTTGGTGGAGGTTGTCAATGTCAGCTATGGAACTGGATTCCCTAAACTTTTTAAACAAACTTAAGATGTTATTAGCTTAGCATGTCTGTTGATGGCTTCTATAATGAACAAGTAATGGGCACTTAAATAAAGTATTTACTCATTCGAGTGTTGGTTATTGCTTACCTTATCCATTATCAGTTCTCTCTCTTCAGTGTTCTGCCTCCCAGTTGTTGGATCATTATTGAATCAGACATTTTCTCATATGTTTTTCCCAGTGCCTTCATTAAAGGCTGTAGGCCTCACCTTGGCGCTATAAGAGGAGGATCCTTTGGAAAAGCATAAATGTGTAAATTAAGCAACAGTTATTATCTCTATCTGTTCCAGGAACCCTTTACTTTGAAAATAAACGGCCCTGGATTTAAACTGATGATGTAACTGGATGCGAGTGGAACATAGAAATCTGAAAATGCACTTTGACTCTGCTGCGAAAACCTCAAGCTTGGACATCTTGTGTGCACCTTTATTCGGGTTTGTTCTGCATTAAAATTTACTTGGCTTCGCCAAGACATAAGTGGCCGGAGAACATGTCAAAATCACTAAGACAAGGATGTTCATACCGCCCGAGTTGGCATGCACTTATGGATTGTTTCTGTATTTCTATGTTTTGTCCATTCTTGTAGAGCATAATATATCATGATTCGGCAGATCTTATGTTCACTGAAGTTTCAGAACACTTAAAGCTTGTGAACAATTACATCATATTGGCTTCTTGTTTTGAAACAGGTTAGTCATCATCCCATGATTGTAGCTTGCCACTGTGAGGGTACGGGTTGGAAGTTTTACGGTGATAGCAACTTGAAAAGTAAATTCTGGGGTCGCTCTATCCAACTTGACCCTGTTGGTGTTCTAACGTTAGAATTTGACGATGGAGAAGTTTTCCAATGGAGTAAGGTAAAAAATTTTTTGCAATACCAAGGCTTCCTACACTGTAAAATGTCTTTTTTCTTTTCTTTTTTTTTTTGTGATTTACTAATGATTTCTTTAAGACAGGTAACAACATCAATTTACAATCTTATTCTTGGAAAATTGTATTGTGATCATTATGGTACAATGCGTATCCAAGGAAACCGTACCTATTCATGTAAGCTGAAATTCAAGGAGCAATCTATCATAGATCGAAACCCTCACCAGGTCTCTCTCTCTCTCTCTCTCTCTCTCTCTCTCTCTCTCTGTGCTCATTGATGATTTACAAGATTAAAATGGAAGGCCATTGGGTGATTTTAATGTATTTAGCCTTCTTTTTCTTTGAAAGGAAAAATTGGACAGAAATAAGATGTCTCTCTCTCTCTCTCTCTGTGCTCATTGATGATTTACAAGATTAAAATGGAAGGCCATTGGGTGATTTTAATGTATTTAGCCTTCTTTTTCTTTGAAAGGAAAAATTGGACAGAAATAAGATGTCCTCTGGAAATCTAATTTCTCTAAATGGACATATCATTCTTTTAGCTTTCAGAACCCCAAGTCTTGTTCTTTTAGTTTGATCGAAGGTATGATATGTTCCCTGTCTGGATTTTGTTGCATCATTGTGCAGCAGTAGAAGATAGTGGGATTTGGTTCGGTATGTGTTGTCAGAATTCGTTTCTATGTTGGTTAGTTTTGTTGATGTAGCTCATGTGTGTTGAAGAAAGCAGATATTAAGCATTTTAAATTTTATATTTAGAAAATTAGCATAAAATGGAAGGGAGAGACTGAAAAGTGCAAGAAAATAAGAACTCTGTTAAGAACCACCATAAGAAACCCTTAGGCTTCACACCTAGGATTGGGCATCACACCCAAATCAAAGTCACGTCACCTGACAGATAGGAAGACAACACTTGTCAAAGTAGTACATTAGAAAACAAAACAAATTAGATTAAGGCTTATCCTCTACTGGAAAGATTGAGTTTTTTATTTTGACTCAACTGCAGAAGCTGAGTAAGAAACCCGAATGCAGGAAATTCCTGGAAGCAGAGAATCACTAAAATGGCGTTGATAACTGAACCTACAATATGCTATAAATAACAAATGAAAATCATGCATTGAAGACTTTGGCAAGATGATTGGGATAGATAATTAAGGAAGAACTTGCTACTGATTTTCTTTTCCCCTTTCTTATCCACATCACGTTCTGAAATGCTTGTCCTCAACTTTTAAAGAATCTGGGAATAATGTAATCTGAAATCGTAGCATGAGCATCAATCGAATCTCCTTTTCCTAACACCAAAATTAGGATGCTTCAATTTCAGCTATTTCCGTGTTATTATGATATCCTTCCAGGACTATAAATCCTAGAGGTGTAGGGAACAAATATCTAAACTTGCCTCAGCCCTAAATGTGCTCTTGAAGTCAATTTCAAGGACAAAAAAATTCTAGCTCAAGATCTTGTGAGTACCCCTGGTTCTCCTTGTGTTGTCCTATATTTTTTCCCCCAGTTAATTGCAGAATTTTCCTCAGTAGGGAAAGAATCTTAGTTGAATTCCTTTTGAATCGCATCAAGATTCTAGAATGTTAAGTCTTCTTTCTTCTTCTTTGGCTCATTAAAACTCGAAGCATCAGTCTTGCTAGTGCTTTCATAAGCTAGCTTCTGGAACAACAAGATTCTCTACAGATGCCTTTCTTGGTTCTTCTCTTGAATTCTGAACAGCAATGTTTTCTTCCTCAATTGCATTGCCAACAGAAACAGGAGATAATTTTGAAACTTCGGGCAGCTTTGAAGGGTTTGCAGTCTAAAAAACAATAAATATACCGCCAAAAAGCTTCATCTAAAGAGTTGAAAATTCTAGTTCCCTCTACTGGTTGATCTTTTTTGGATTTGCTCATGGTTCCGTCTACTTCTTAATGGCGTCAAAATAATTTGCCTGTGAGTGAAGTTAAATGCATAGGTCTCGGCTACACCATCATGTCAACATAATGGGATTTATGTTGCACCATCTAGAATCAGCTTGTGACTCCTGTACTCAGCAACACTTGGTCACCAGAATGTCAATTCTGAAACCTTTTATGGATTTGGATGAGACTCCGTGCATTAATAAACTCCCACCATATGTCGTGAGCTTCCTAGTTATGTTTCTTTTAGAAACTGATTTCTGAATTGTTGAAGTCCTCAACTCTTCTTTATTTTTGGGTGTACCAAGAATCTGTAATCTGTCTTAACTTGTGAAAGGTAGGTGGCGTCATCCTCTTCTTCTTGATCATCACAAGGAACTACGTTCATCTTATCCGGGTATCTGTGACTTTAATTTTCTCAATTTTGCCAGCTTGAGATTGGACCCTTGGAGGCTTAATCTCCATGTTTAAACATGTTATTTTGGTTCCAAAACCAATGTGAATTAAATTAAACAGATCATGGATGAATCCTAATTTCTTAGAACCAGAAACTGAGTAGAAATTTGGAAGAGAAAAGAGAATAGATTGCTTGGAAGTAGCAGTTTTTCCATGAATGACCCTGGGTCCTGAGAGACCCGTAGACATCACATCTATGGACCATTTGTCATCACACCCGAGGCAGGGTTGCATCACACAACCATTACTATAACAAAACTTTCCCTAGGAATTTGTGTATTAACTGTCCGTGTCAGAGAAGGTCATTAATGACTTAAAAATCCAAAAGCAATTATGTTTAGGATTCATCTCTACTTTCCTAAAGAATGAGCTTCCAATTTAGACTCAGTTTCAAAAGGTTAAATATGGCTAAATAACTTTTAGATTCAATGAGATACCTGTTGGGCAGTTCTTGAAGGTGGCCTGTTTGTTGAAATACTCTGGGCAACTATGGAAATTACCAAACACGACAAACGAATTTCCTGTGTTTGATAATATTACGAAGTTATCCATCACATTATTAGCTAGGATCAGAACGAACTTTGCCACTAGTTAGGGGATTTTTAGTACTGATATTCTGCTGTTCTTTCTTGTCCGTGTCATTTGTTTGAAGTTGCTCTTTCTTGTCTGTGTCATTTTGCTCCTTGTCTGTGTCATTTGTTTGGTTCAATGGAAACTTGGCAATGTTTCTTTAAGATTTAGAGGTACACAAATATGTTGAACAGAGTTCCATACAGTGCTTCCTTCACAAATGTACACTAACACGTGGACGATTGATACTTTAGGTGCAAGGAATTGTCCAAGATAGGAGTGGGAAGACGGTGGCAACGTTGTTTGGCAAGTGGGATGAGAGCATGCATTATGTAAATGGGGATTTTTCTTCCAGAATCAAAGGAGCTGAAGCCTTGTCAGAAGCGCATCTGCTGTGGAAGCGGAGCAGACCTCCTAAGTTCCCTACCAGATACAACTTTACACGCTTTGCTATTACATTGAACGAGCTTACTCCTGATCTAAGGGTGATTTTGATGGAAACATTATTTTAACTATCCTATTGTAACTTGTTTGTGCCTTCGTACTTTTTCTGGGGTTCTTTTTCCCATTTCTAATACATTGTCATCTTTTATGTCAGTTCTTAAATGAATCCTGTTTTGAGAAATTACCTAGGAGTTTGACAAGTTTCTGTTTTCATTATCAGTTTGTTGATATCAATCTTTCTCCATTCACAGGATAGGCTACCTCCAACGGATTCGAGGTTGAGGCCTGATCAACGTTGCTTGGAGAATGGGGAGTATGAACAGGCAAATGCAGAGAAGTTACGGCTAGAGCAACGGCAAAGACAGGTACTTCTATATACTTTAGTTTATCAACCTCCATTTATTTAATAGGAATTCTGTTTTAGGTTTTGATAAAAAAAAAAAAAAAAAAAAACAGATGATGTGTAACATAATTTTACAATACAATAAATCTGTCAGCTATCAAAAACAGATGATTATTTTTAGTTTTCATCTATTTTAAGTTGGCGTATAATTATAAGTTTCATGTTATTAAATGATATTATGCCACATATATTGGGATAATTGATATTGATACTTGCTTGTACATCATTTCGGTGTTGTATGTTTTCAAGTTCCAGAACTATTATTCGTATTAAAAATCTGTGCATATTTAAAAGATTGATCTATGATATCTTCTGTGGCATATAATGAAAAAATATGATATTGCAACTTGCTGCTTATAAAGGATCGTGAATATTTCCTTAGTCCCTCTTATGTGCTCTGTCATTACTGAATACTAATGTTGTTTTGATGATGTATCTTAATGCATATTTTATGTTTATTTTGCATTTTATGCGTTGCGTCATTTTTAGCTCGCTAAATAACCAGTATTAGGGTGTTTTTTCAGTGTATTTAGATTGACAGATCTAGAGATGCTAATGGAAGATTTGTTCTCCTCGATTGATTTTGCACATTTTTGCAACAGCTGTTTTCATAGATTGTTTGCAGTGGTGGTGTTTCAGATGATAATTACATATACCCTACCCTGTATAGTACGAGTTTTGTTTATTTAAATTGATTGTAGCTATTGTATATTTCCTCCGTCCCATAAAAATAGTCTACATCATAAATCATAGATTGTTCAGAGGAAGTACTGTTGTAGCACACAAAATCATATACATGCAGTTTATAAAGAAACTCGAAAACCCTCTTTAGACTACCTTAGGTTTGTAAATGCATTCTAACATAAAATGTTTGAGAGAAGTAGCGGTTTCAGTCATTTGAAATACAAATTTATGATGGATATTCATATAGAGAACTAAAAGAATAACACATAAAATAGAAAACATTATAATGCTTTGTTGGTGGTATACAATTGAGTACTCAAAAATAATTTTTATTTACTTTTAAGTAATACTACGTATTAGTTCAAAAATCAGAGTCCCTTTTTTAAAACTAAGTGGAAGGTAAATATTAAGATGACGGGTCTCGAAACCCATCACTTCTTCCTATACTCTGACCTTTGTTTAATAGGATTTATTTCACTTATTATTTTCTTAGTTCTCGCTTTTACAGGAATGTAGATCAGAATTTTTATAAATAAAGTGTAAGCTTAACTTTCGATTTTATTTTAAACTACGTGTGCTCTGAAGAGCTTCTTCATCTGATTTTGAAAGGCTAATTTTAAGAAGTGAATATAAGTAGTGTGGTCCAGCGGCTCTCTTGAATATTTTATTCCTACCCTTAACTCGAGTCCAGATATTATCTCCATGATTGAAGTGATATAAGCAAAATTGAACTTCATCAAAAGATCAAACCTGCTGCGCTGTGAGTGCTCAATAAAGTTTAGTGATGAGTCATTGCTTATGACTATGTAAGGTTCAGTGCAATCACAGCTTAATTATGTCTTCTATGTATTACTATTTGGTTGGTTGTATTCCATTGTGTTCTTTTTCCATCAGTGGCATGGCAGTTCCTGTTTCTACTGTGTGGACGAGTCAACTTTTGGAATTACCGTGTCACTGAATGTTTATTTGTAAAATAATTCTAAATTCAAAACAGTTATTGTTTGTTGTTAAAGGAAATGGTAGGGCAATTTTAGCCTGGTTTGTTGTAGTATTTTTCTGGTACCACTTGTGATTCTTTGCTTAAAGCGTGTTGTCTTTCCCAAGCCAGGCTCGTAAAATGCAGGAGAGGGGTTGGAAACCGCGGTGGTTTGCATATGACAAGGAAAGTGATACCTATCGTTATGCTGGTGGATACTGGGAGGCTAGAGAAGAGGGGCAATGGGAATCATGCCCCGACATTTTTGGTCAAATTCCTCCTGAACAGCTCTTCGATTAAGATCCACAGTTTCTTGTTGCTGCTTTTATCATTTTATAACGCAGCTGTTGACACTTGTTCATAGTCTTAACTGTGGATATTTGAAGAGATTGTTTTCACCAAACAACTGGTAAATAGTTTAGCAATCGAGTTTACTTTTTTCTACTTTTTTATCATTTTTTATCTCTTAGCAGTAATAAACAGAAAGACGAAGAGAGTATGTAACACTAAGAGGTTATGTACACAAATGTGTGGTTAGGAGGGGTATACTTTTAAAAAAAGGGTGAAAATATTAGCAGACCTTGTATATAACATTTTTATGTTGAGAAAATTGTAGACAGCCATTATTGCTCATTCAATGGAAGTGTAAACTGTCACGTCATTATCATTGTTTAGCCAAATGTCATTTTTTTTAAGAGTAATTGAATTGCAGATCATATAGCTTACGGAATATTTGTATAGAGCATCATTTTGTATAGTATATAATTGTCATTCTTCTTTTGTTTAATTTCCTATTTCCGCTCTTCATGACAAGTCGACAATTGGTTCATCATCTTCAACAGAGTTGTTGCTTTGGCCTTGATGGTTAAGCAGTCTTAGTATCTATTCTTTAATGTGTGTAACTTTTTCAAATTACTTTTTATCTTTTATGATTCGAGATCTAATCTCACGTGCTCGGGATGGGGTGTATGGAGCTATAAGGTAATATGGAAAAACGCTCTGATCTTTATTAAAACGCATGGAGAACTAAATGCCAAACATTCCGAATAAATTGACTCCAAAATATCAAATCCAAATTATAAAAAATCCTATCTACAATTGTTGAGTGGCCTTGCGTATTTCTAGCTGTTTGGGTATGTAGAAAAATGATGAATATAGTCCAAGGCCAAATTTCTTTTGGATCCCAACTATCCCCACTTCCATAGCTCACACAGTTTTTGAAAGAATTCCTATGGTTAAAAATATAAAATCAATTAGCACTTGTAATAATTCTTAGTAGAAAAAGAAAGAAGTCAAAGGATTCATTCTTTCATTTGTGTTTGATTTCACCACTGAAAATTACTAAAAGATTACTTTTACGAACAAATTGTCTTGTATTTTCTCAATGTAATAAGTACCCCCCCCCAAAAAAAAAAAATTAAAACATTAATATGTTCTGCCCCACAACTTCAACTTTTCATCAAGATTGCCCTTTTTTCTTTTCCGCGGAATTTCACTTTCTCCAATGCACCCTTTTTGGTGAAGTTTTATTGCCAGTCCAAATAAAGAAACAGCCAAATATATGAGAGAGGGTGTTCTAAGAATATACGTTGTATTTTATTGAAAACTAAACTTCCTTTCCCTCACAAACACGTATGATTTTTAAAGGAAAAATTTCTAGCTGAGAAATTCAGCACTGCCATGACTGTTAGTTATCAACCAATGGAATCATGGACTTCAATGCTTTGCATTCTACCTTGGATACATTCAAGTTATATCTCTAGCCTGTTAAAACAACAAAAGGCCAACTACATTCTTAGGAGCTCCGGAACGATGGTCTGGAAAGAAAGCAAGAAGTTCAAATACACAAGGATTGAGGTCTCGACATTTACAGCAGCAGAAACTCCCATGGGCAAGCTTACTTCAGGCACCTCTTTGTGGCAGAGTTTCGAAGGCCGACACTGTGTTCTCAAATTTGATCCGATGTAATGGTGCACCACTTTGTTTTATCGCACAAGCTTGTTTATCTTCCAGTGGACAGCGAGCTTTCAACATTGAAAACACATGACTATTCAACCGCCTTGCTTTCTTCATAGCTTCTAAAAGGCCGCCAAACACCTAATTCATTTTATGATTTTGGTAAGAAAAAACTGAATCTACTTTGCAGGAAGATTCAAAGAAATAGCTATACAATTAATTATTAGTATAAGTACTTTCCTTTTAATTAAGTGTTTTAACTAAAGTAAGTTTTAGTCCTAAGTTTTAGGAAATTAGTAAGTCTATTAGAATTAGCATTTGCCAGAATCTCTATAAATAGAGAAGTTTTGGAGCTTTTGTTATTCACATCTTTTTCTGATTTATATAAAATTATTAAGCTTTTGAAGCTTTTAAAGACACTGTCTTTCTTAAAGCACTACAGCTAGGGTTTGCCTCTTCCATCTGTTTTCAATTAGTCCCCTGATCCCATCACTACTTGATCTGAAGTTTATTAGTAGCACAGTTTATCCGAATTAGATGAAATGAACTTTAAGCATTCAGCAATCACTGTATAGACGCTGTAACTTAAAATTTCAGGCAATGAGAAGAGATCTCTTACACCTTTTACTTTCGTCGTCCTTGGGCTATGAGTACAAATGAACTGCGGTTACTAGATCCTGTTGAACAAGAATTAACGGCTGTGGCTATCCCATGGGTCAATTATCAAAGAAAAACATTATGTTTTTTATTTTCAGCCAAAGCAGTCTTGGATTTGTGATGAAATAACAGAGGACCATTGCAGCCAATCCATAATGGTATTTCATGGGAAAAAAACATAACAAAAGGAACTATAATTCAGTTATTCCATGTGAAATTGATTGATCACCTCCGCTCAAATTGCGGGGAATGACAAAAATTGCCTCAATGTGCACTTAGTCGTTCTTACAATTAGTAGCAAGCCAGCCGTGTTAGGTAAAGTATTTTTATCCCAAATAGTTTAACTAATGCTCAATTTTCTTGAATTCATTTATCGTCTTCCATGTTCAATTAGCTTCCAGGGAATTGGTCCAGAAATTAGATTCCCATTTCTGAAGCCATAAACTTAAACCACACTGATATCGAGGAAGTGTTAACAACAAAATTAAGCATCTATCCCATATTTAGTAAGCTATGCAGATACTAAAATCTATCATACTATTTCCTATCACCCAAAATCAGATCAGAGATATGTCATGAGATATAAAGTGGAAGACAAACAAGCAGCAAAATTCAGTATTTAATTATTAGATTCCAACTTCTTCTGAAAATATAGAAAATAGATTCCATCAATCAGTGTTGCCAAGGATGGTAATCAAAGTAAACTACCTGGATAGGGTGGGAACTCTTGTGGATCGGTGTGGCTGCCTCCACCTCTGCCACATTGAGGACTTGGTGAGAAAAATCAAAAAGTTCAAAATGAAGCTGTTGACCCAGTAAGTAGATTATCGTACAACCACCCCAAGCAACTGAGTCACCCAACATATCTTGGTTGTTAGGCTGCATTTGTGCAGTGTCTTCCAAATATTCCTGTCATCGATTAGAGTGAGCAAACCAGTTAAATACCAATGAAAACCCAAAGGATTTAGATGTTACCATATGCTATGGTTCCCACTTTTGAAGAGTGGGCAATGCTGTACATTCAGACATTAAACTTGCAATCTGAATTTAACATAAACAACACGGGAACTGATCCTAGCCTAGTTGGTAAGGGTCTTAGTGGATTTGGTAGAGGTCCAAGGATCAAATCCCATCAGTGGTATGCAAAGGGGGGAACTTTCTCAACTTTATAACTGGGGTGGGGCAGGTACGTTTTTTAAAGGAAAAAACAAAAACACACTCTAACAAGAAATAGAATGCATTCTCCACTTCGTAATGTCCATGAGACATACACAAAACACTGTTAGCCTCATACTGTACTCGTCGCTATAACCAGGACAGTATAACTAACTTATGAAGATTATCAATCATCCAGAACCCTTAGTGGCTGATATGTACTGACCACAAGATTTTAAATGAATTATCACTAATAGCAAAATATCCAATTAATTCCTTACTATTAGTGTTTTTTCGAAAAGGCCTTACTTTTAGTGTTACTGATGCAATAACCATCAATTTGTTTCTAATTACCACAACCGAACTCTCTCTCCTAAAACTTAAAGATTATCCAACATGCGCATGGCAAACATTTCAAAGCTTTCATAAAAGGTGTAAATCTGATAGCTAAGAAGTTCCCAAGAAACAACAGGAAAAACACCATATCATATGATTGCATTGACTCACATACGGGTTGACAAATAAGGAAACCGTATTCAAGGGTTTAATTCTGTCATTTAAGAAAAAAGTATCAGACTGCTATTAATGCACAGATGCATTATCATTACAACTACAAGCACCACATCTTACTACAAAATCACAGCTCCGAGGAGAGAATTCATAGAGGACCAAAAAAAGAAGAAGGAGAAGAAGACGAAGAAGAAGAAGAAGAAGAAGAAGAAGAAGAAGAAGAAGAAGAAGAAGAAGAAGAAATGGCATATCAATAAAGCGAGCATGCGTGGAGTATATTAGATAAAAAAACAACATGCATGGAGGATTTTCATTTTTATTTTTATTTTTTTTGGTTTTCCTCAGGATTAGTAAGAAGTTATCTGCAAAAAAATAATACTAATATTAATAAAAATAAAGAATTACTTTGAGTAAAACATACTATTTGGAGACCACTAAATAAACGATAGAAGTCCTTGGAAGCTGTGATATCGATGAACCCTGTCTTTGGAGCTGCACTCCATTTACTACAATATTTATCTAAAGCTGCACTTGTGAAGGCAAGAGCGTACTCCAGGACGCTTCCAGCATTGATATTGGCCTTGTACAAGAGATCTGGAAAAGAGAGGCAAAATCAAGTGAATACCACGTAGGAAAAGTTCATCCACATTGTCTGGCAGAACGCGCTCACTAGTAGCTTCTATTCTCCAATACAATGAGGGAAGTGAACAAAGCAGACAACATGAATAATCTGTAAATTCAACTGGTCCTACAATGGATATCTAAGGCTTGGAAAAACAATAAACTGAAATAAACAGACACCGAAACTGGAAATATTTACTCAATTCAATAAACTTTTTTATTTTTCCTTTTTTAAATAGGTTTATCTGCTATCTTTGATAGTGAAGTTATCAAACAAGCGAGAGATCAGCCAGACATTTGATGAAGACAGCTAGACTGATTGCAAAAACCAATCTATGCAATTCGTTGAAGCATAAAAATTTGCCTCTGGATTACAGATTTCGGTCTCATTGATCACGAAAATATATATGCATCTCCACACAATGTTGAAGATTGTCCGGAGAGCTAAACTATCAATCCAAAATAACATGTTGCTATGAATAATTCAACCCAACTACAGATGTCGATCAGGACAAAATGCAAAGCAACTAAAATTTCTTAAAAAGCTCAAGGTGTTGGTTGACTTCCGTTAAGAGAATTGGCTAGATAAATAACATTCATCCAAAGAAAGAGGTTGCAGGTTGCACCAAATATTCTCATTCGTCCAGGAATTGGAAAAAATAAAATTAGAAAAAGAGAAGCTCAATGCAAATAATACTAGTAGTGAATGGATTAAATCTATATGGATAGATAGTCCCATCTACTCCCAGGCAACTGCTCAAGGCGTTGGCAGACATGCAAAACCACGATCCACAAATTGCTATTGAAGGGCACGGAAGGCAGGTAAAAACACGAATGTTTTTGCATGAGCTTCACAAGTTATTTAGATCCAATGGATGGTATTTACAATATAATACAAAAGAACAGAACCTTGTAGACTAGGAAATCATGCCAATATCAAAATAGGACCAAAAAAAGTTGCATACCAGCCGCTTCTGCTTGTCTTGACATGGTCTGAAATGATTTTGGATTTCGGCAGCCAGGGTCTGATACAATTGCAGCCGTTGATGATTTAAACAATGTAACAACAGGGCTTTCTCCTGCTTCTTCAGACTGCAAGATCTGTCCGTCTGTACCAGGTATCAAGCCCAACCAAGGGGCTGTCTGCATGAAACTAGTGGTATCCACTTCCCTCTGTAAATCAAGCAAACTGGAGCAGTTAGATGTCACTGTATTCTACAAATCCATTTTCAACAGATCCTTGATCAAGTGAGGTAGTCAATGGGGAAGCTCAAAATATAATTGAGAAAGAAAATGAGCGAACATTAGACCAGTGAAATGTAAAACAAGGAGGTACTCAAAGTGGATGCTAGTGGGAACCATTATTGAATTGAATAAGCAAGTTGGACTATTCATAATACTGCTTCCAAGACAGTCTTTAGGGATAGTACAACTTAAACCGAGATATAATGTTGTTTACATTACAACAAGAAGATCCAGAATGAGGCATCAAATAAATGTCAAGGTGTAGGATACTAATAACTCTACAAAGCATTCTGTTCCTTTTTGATTGTGAATGCTGTGTTTTCTGCTGTGGAGATTTGACAGCCTTGACTATTTAAATGAAATATCATTCTAACCAACTATTTTCTCACCTTTCAGGTGAGAGGTTATTATAAAGACTAGATAAGTTTCTGCAAAGACAAAGATGAGAAGATTGTAACAGCTAAACCTCCTCGTGATCCACCATAAAAGAGAAGAAAGCATAACCATTTAAAAGCATTATTTTTCCGTTCGACTGACCACATCTTGAGTCTTGCATTAAATATCTTTCTTAAACCATTTCAGCATCAAAAAATGCTAGAGTATAGAGACTCACCAGAACAATGTCAAGCAACCCCATCCAGTACAATATGCTTCCAATCTCCTTGACTCCATGAAGAACCTCGGCTTTTAACTCCATCTTCGACTGCCAGCAATTGAGATATTCTTTGATTGTCTTCATACAACCTTTAGCAATATCAAAAGGCAGTATTAGACACTTTTTCCCTTAATTCATAGCTCAAAAACTCAATCTCTGACGTTACAAGAAAGGGGAATAGATATTGTGCTGCATGTACATTCATGTCAGAAGCTAGATAACAGATAAAATGCCAGTGATTTGAATAGTAACCCAATGCAAACAGAAACGCTACATCCTCTGTTCAACCAACCAACATCTCCATGGGAAAGCTTGAAACAACACGAGTAACAAGCTCCAATGTGCATTATTTACTGAATAATCACTAGGAAACAACAATTTTTCACATCCACATGAAACAACGGCAGCTGGACAAAAACAGTAATGAGGAAGTACCTTCACAAAATGTGCTGCTATTAGCTTATGTGAAGCTAAAAGAAGGTTTTCCTTACTATAATTTCCAATGGGAAAAAACATGAATGAAACTATTGTAAATCAAGCAATAAAACAAGTTTGAAGTTTGCACAAAATGAATTGATTGCAAATCAATTGATAGACTAATAACCAAGAATGCTGGGATGGGAATGAGGCAATAAAAAATATATCTTCTTTCTTTCTGGTATAAGCACTCGGACATGTTTTATGTCAATTAGTAATTGCTGAAACTGCACCATGTAGCACGAGACAAAAAGCGACAAACTCTAACAACACCACTAGCTCAATTAAGAGTACAATCTTTCAGAACTTAATTCCTAATACGTACCTGCTACACCACCATCAAAAGGAAGTAATCCAATAGACTTTGGCAAAGCTTCTTGCAGTCCGGTAAACATAGGCTCCAGAGCAGTTACCTGGAACAACGGATTTATAAGCACAAGATAGCATCACGGGTACTGCATGCACAAATAAAGATTTGGATTTTGAGAAAGCAGTGAATACTGGATAGCTAAGGTTTTACATTCAAATTCAACATCTTAAACATAACAACGACAAAAGATTTTGCGGTATTATCTAGAGAGGATATAATGTGCACATGATACTTGGATTGACTAATGAAGAAGCAAACTTCAGAAAAGCTATCATCTCAAAATAGATGCACCTTATTCGATATATGATCCAGTAATGCTCTTATAAGCCAAGGCAATGACCTGGAACCAAGCAGCCTCACAATCGAATACATGTGAGGCATCCCAAAAAATCCACTATGTAATCGAGCAAAACTCTGGTAAGCTGAATTAAGATCCTACAAACAAAATGAAGGGAAGTGTCATTAGCTTTAGTAAAATAAATAAAATTACCAACAAACTGAAAATGTTAATAATATGCAGAAACAATCATCGGCAATATAGCTTTCATCAACACGTCAAGTATAGCATATAGAATGAGATACAAACGCTCAGCACAATGAATCACTGTTTCTTCCTCTATCTATGTCGCTGAAAAACCTCTTCCTTGCAAACAAACACAGAGTGATCACATATAGAGCATGCAAAGATTGCTAGTGCAGTCTTTTTTAATATTATAGATGATCTTTCAATTTGGAAAAGTTCAACTGGCCAGATCAAATGCACTAGTGTTACGACACTTACTGGCAAAGAGTCCCCACTTTCAGGTTTGAAAGTTCTTTATTGATGATATTTAGCTTTTCTATGCATAATGATTGATAGATTTCATGTCCATCGTGGTAAAACTGTGAACATTATAACAACTTTTCCATAGGAGCATGACAACATCAATATTGTATTGGCACACTACAAACAAACAGAAAATAAGGCTCAAGAAAACAAAGCAAAAGAGGGGAGTAAGAAGAATCCACATGCATTAGTTGATACCGTAATAAATTTAATGTAAAAACCACTGTATCAAGTTCCTGCGAAGAAAATCAAATAGCGTAGTGGTTATTTAAGTTTCTCATCTCTTGCTTATTGACAAAAGTCAGTTCATTTCCAACACATCTTGAACTAAGATTTCCAATAAAATTGAGAGCAGGCAATTAAAACTACATTGGAATTTAAGCCAAAGGGCTTTGTCTACAGTAGAACATGGCGCAAAATTACACAAAACCGAGAGCGACGTATTAAACATGCTACATTTTGAGGTGTTTGGATCAGAAGCAGTTTGTTATTACAGCATATAATACCGTTAAAGTAATTCCAATAATCAAGCATTTAACCACATGGGATTCAAAAACCACATCATACTAACTATTTATTTGATATCAGTTGACCAAAGGTTTCTTACTTGAGTACCACAGTACAAGTATGGCTTTGTGTAGGGGGGTGACGGCTTCTGTACAGGAACCAAAGGAACTCTTGATGATCGAACAAAACGCTGAGTTGTGTTGCAGACGATAAAATTCGGCAAGAAATCATTTTGCATTTCCGTCCAAATCTGGAAAAAGATTTAAAATGACTAGAATCAAATTAAAGAGCTTCCAAAAGTTAACCCTTTAAGAAGGTAGATCACCCAGAAACATTCTTAAGAATTCTCATAACTTTCTACTTTATAACTATCCATCAATTAGAAATTCTGACCTATTTTGTCACAGCCTAATTGGCTGGATTCCCAGAATCTCTGTTTGTCAATCCTTTATTATGGGTACACTTGCAGCTTTTAAGCACTATTGAACAAAGTGTGTTTCCTTTCCACCCCAATCTGAGCTATCACCTTTTTTTATTAATATAATACAGGCGTGTCACCATGAGGTCCAGGAAAACCCCATATCTTTTGACCTCAACAAAATTATATTAAGATATTTGTAAGCCTATTGTACAGAAGCCTATCAGTTCCTGTAAAAACTTATATTTTTAAGATTTCATTTGAAGCTTCAGCAAGTGCACAAAAGATGAAAATATTCCATGAAAAGGAATTAATCAGAACTCCGATAGAAACTTGACCTTGAAAAAGATAGCCAAGATAAGACATATATTCAAACCTGTGAAGCAAGTCTACTAGAGTACGAAACAAGGGAAACATTCTCTTGCATTTCATTCAACATAAGATCAAATGAATCCATTGTAAGATCTTTGGATAGTAGATTATGAGCAAGTTGTAAGATGCTGAGAAGCTTCTCCAGTTCCTGATAGCAAAATATCAAATCAGAGAAAATGAACACTGACAAGCTTGAGATTGAGTGAAATAGAGAAACTCTTACCACAATAGCACATAAATCCTGAGATTCAAAATGGTCAAACAAAAAGTCGATGTTGTCTCTGAATATTTTGTTCATTCTCGCAGAAATCAAGCTCCTCAGGTCAATGGTCCTTCCAAGCAACTATGCACAGTCACAACAGGGAGAAACACCAGTCACAAGAAAGAAGAGCTAATAAAAAATATATAAATGTAACACAGAAACTAAATAGTGTAAGGAAATGTATTTTACAGGTACAACTCTACCAACAGATTTTGTTTCATTTTTTTATTTTTTTAATCTACCACCAGATTTTGAAGCAGCTAAACCAGCTTAAACTATTTTTATATGCTTCTTTCATCAAATAAATTAGTTTAAAAATCTAAATGAGTTGAATTTGTTCTGTAAGATCGGTAAGGATACAAATTATAAGCATTAGCTGGACCATAAAGGAGGTTTTCCTCGGTTATATTGCTTCATCTAAGAAAACTGCAAGACATTTTATACTTTGAATTAGAATATCCTGGGAGGAATCTGAGATTAAAAAAAAAAAAAAGAAATTGCTACCATCAATGGATCATTTGATTTTAACCAACACGTCCTGAAAAATCATAATTTCATGAAAGTAAAATACCAGCCATCATGATAATAATCTTCACCTTCACTCTGGTCATTTGTAGAAGGGCAGTAAATCTCACTGGTTGAACTGAAAACTTTTCACCAATGTCCAAGGCAAACAAGAAAGAAGGGTCCAACAGTTGCCTACAATTTTTGACAATCATTATAACGTTATCCCAGATTCATGAAATACATGCAAGTATGAAACTGAACAGCAGCATGCACACCTGGCTGCCCAGCTCTTGTAGTATGTGAATACTGAATCGCATAACTTGGAAACAAATATATCAAAGCAATTGTCCACCTGATCAAAAGCAAAATGGCATTTACTACAATGGCTAGTGGGGCGAAAGATGATATAATCTCAAGAATGAAGTCTTAATAAGAGTAAAAAACAAACGATATATGCCTTTCCTTCCTTAACTATACGAGTGCAAGGGAAAGTTTAAGCAAGTACTCTAAGCTGGCCTTCACCAGAGAATCCAGAGAACATACATAAAACAGACATAAACATTTCTCCCCTTCATGAAAATCAAGGGAAAAGAAAAGACAAGTACAACGGAAAAAAGGAACTAGTTGACCTAAGAATATTCTGAAATTTTCTCCACATCACTGTCTACACAAATATCAGACTCGTAAAGAAGTATACAAAAAATATTTGACAATAAATGCATATTTCCTATCTTATGTTGTTCTTCTCTCAGCTTCTTTGAGAAAATAGAACCAACAATTTTGCTGTGCTGAACGTGTGAACAAAATGTTTGACAATGAAATCTTATTCCTATCTTATGTTTTTCTTCTCTGAGCTTCTGCAAAAAACTAGCAGTAATATTTGCTGCTACATTTGTTTAAGTTGATATGTCTAAATCAGGGTATTTAGCTCCAGATAAGTTACCTCAGCTTCAATTTCATCATAGAGAAAGCGCTGCTTGAGGATGGCTAGTCCTTGATGAGCAGCATCATTATAGATATCGAATGGAATCAAAATGCTCTCAAGAAGACCCAAGGCTTGAGACTCCATCACATGATCCACAAGCATCCATGGAAGGGAACATTCGACTGGGAACTGCATTGTGGGTAGTCAGCAGACTTGGTGAAAAACAAAAATTTTGAAAATAGAGAAGGGTGGACCTTCCAGATAAAATGATTGATGGCTAAAATTTAAAATTCATGACGTGAAGTACCGACAGGCTTAAAATTTTGATTAAAATTGTCTAATGTTAATTTTGTTTCAAAATTTCAAGGAGAATATCCACCTAAAGTGTAACAGAACTTGAATCCATATTCAACTATTGGAAAGATCTATATATTTCCCCATGAAGAGTCCAATTTCAACTACTTCCTCGTCCCAAAAGGAGCCCACTTTCATTAGAAAAAAAAAAAAAATCCTTTAAGGCCATCATTGGGATGCTTTTGGTCCATGACAAAAGAGTAGGGGCCCAAACTGGAAACTATGTAGTAAACTTGTACACAAAAGAAAGTGGACTCTTTTTTGGAGGGACCAAATAAGCACCAAACAAGAAAATGTATCATTTTTTTTTTTTTTTGTGGTTAAAAATTCCACCCCAGTGGACCCCACTAAAATGTGGAAACCACCCACCCCCCCCTCTCCCCAAACCCCTTGGTGGGAATTGAACCTGGGTCTACTCCCAGGAAGTTACAATACCCTAAGCACTAGAATGTTATTCAAATTCCCGAAAACGCATCATTTGTTAAGTAGCAGCTGGGCAGAAACAGTTTGCATTACCTGTATAACACGAGAAGATTCCAGATAAAATTCTCTAAACCACAAAAAGCCAAGATCTGTTAAAGTAGCAACTGTAGCTGCATTAAGCAAAAGCTTGACGTTAGTTTTGCTCCAAGTAGTTGCCAAAAAAAAATGCAATGTTATCATCAATTAATGTAGACATAGATGATAACACTGAGGGGAAAATTTAAAATCCAAATGGCAGGAGTGGGTTTCACCTAAATGTGTTAAATGATCATGTATCCATGATATTTATAAACAAGTGTAGCAAGAAGAATGACTTGGTTTCTTGAAACAGTGACATTTGTAAATGAGTAACTTTAAAGACAGACTACAAATCAAGACTCAAACCACACTAGTGGAGGTCTTTTTTAAATAACTGAATCTGTTGTCAGTAAAGGAAAATTCACAACAGAGTGTGCTCAGTTCATAAGACCCAACTAAGACCAACAAAGATGTTAAGATAGTCAATGTCACGGACCTGTATAATCAAGTACATGCAAGAAAAAGCCAAGCTTGTAGAAGAAAGTTTCAAGCTGTTTCAAATCATTTACAGGAATATCAGAGCCAGTGTTTCCAAAGAGACCACCAGGTTTCCTCATGTTACCGCCTGAAACCACCTCATATATCAGAAACTGCAAGCAATGAACCTGAGAAGGAGAGGATGATGATAGGTTAATAGTAACATGGTTAAGATAGAGAGAGTTATACCTGTAATGCTATTATATTATGATGGCATTTCAACACTGACTGATTTACTTGCAAGTGAAATCTGACAACAATTTAGCCCTTACCCACACTATTTAACTAATGCAGCGTCCACATATTTTTATTTAATTTTTAAAAAACGATGTATTTACGTTAGTATCGTCATAGCTCTTTTAGGTCTTCCCCTCCCGGTTTAAATTGATATAATGGTCCTCAGTTTTTCTTGTCTTTATATCCCCTTTATATAGCAAATATCTTTATCCAATACCCTTAATTTGAAATACCTTTTGGAGATCGATCAGTACCATATATAAACTTTATTTTTCTCATTGCAGTAATTTTATATAGCTTCCATTATAGACCTCATAGGCATGAGACCAAACTGATCATCCTATTTTCTCAATCTTGATTATGTTGCTCTTTCCTACTGTCTCATAGTGCATGACTCAACGACTAAACATTCCTACAATTTGCACTGTCATGTACCTCCTTTATTCTAGGACAAGACATTTGTCGCACTTTTTCTTAAATATTCACTTATTTTCTCATAATTCGTACATATCCATAATACATTTCCATGTCATTTCGTCAAAAATTTCTCATTGGAAGATCAGCACGACCAATTACACCAATAGTTATTATTTTCATAAACTTCGTTTTTCCTTCCATATTTTGAATCTTGTAACAATAAGCAACGTTTCTATTTAGCTCATCCGAACTCACTTGAAGTGACTATGTTACCTAATGATACATTAAATATGTTATAAAAATATCAGTTTCATTGCTATTTTTGTTATTTTAGAAAAATAAGTTAAATCTCATGCTCGCTTTCCCTGACTATTACTATTTTGAATGTGTGTGTGTGTGTGCTTGTGTGTTTGCATATATCTATACATATTCCTATTCTTTCCTCAAGATATTATGAAATTTCCCAAAAGAATTTTGTTTTTGCCTTTTTTTTTTAAATAGTAAAGTCTGGAATGATTGTGAAATAGACCCCATGTTCATTTGGCAATGCATTGTGGAAGATCTGTTTTTCTTTTTTTTTAATACTTTTATCATAACCTAAGCATATTACAAATTAGTGTGGTTCATGGCAAAAGGGATCCTATTTGTCCACTTATTTATAACTTTTTTTCACTTATTTCTTCACCCATCTATATATGAATGCTTCATTATTTCTACCAGTGTATATATATTTGCAAGATGCCCATTAACTAAGAGAGGAATAACAAGAGCCTAAGTTGCACAAATAACGTGCCTTACTTTTATCTTTGCTTCCCATGATAATGTTTTATCATCCTAACAGGACTATCAGTCCAGTTAAACTCTAGTAGGTTCCACCTAAATAACAGCAATCCTACCGCATGCAGACCTTATACAAAACACAATGGTATAAAAGCATATAGTATTCTGAAAAGAAGAGTATGACTGAACCAGCATTGCAGTATAGCACAGAATAGAAGAACTGAAGGCTGACCTGTGCAGCAGTTGGTGCTACAGGCCTGGGATAGAAAAAGTTAACTTTGCTCTCTTCCCCACCATGTGGAAATGATTGTAAATCAGGGTCAGGTTTACTTGTGTTTGCCATCCAATCAGCTGAAAGCGTTCGCATATCAGAAAGAATCCTGAAGCATGGGAACCATACAAAGCATTAGAGAAAGCTAGGACCTTATCCCAAATAATACTATACGTCATGGAGCCCAAAGGATAGGGAAATAAAATAACTATGGAGAGATATATACAAGAAAGATTCTATTTTCCATTTCAAGCAGAACAGAATACTAGATGCTGTACTTCCTTGTTTCTCAATTGCAAGAATTATGGCTAAGAATATGAAAGGATAATTTCAAGTCACTTCTCAATTCTCCAAAATACAGACAAATCCACATGGATACTAGCAAAGTTACTTTTTCCTATAAATTGTAATTCAAGTTGACGAAGAGCAGCGCGAGTGACACGCTGCAACCAGAACTCACTGAAATAGGAATCATACTGTATCATTAAAGAATCTATATCCTATTTTAATGAGTGTAATTTTACCAATGTTTTTCTGTAACTTCTGACTTGTTCAAAGTGGCATCATAAATTGCCATTCATTAAAGTTTACAGAGATAACAGCAGAAATATAATTGTAAAAGTGTATCAACCGTGGATCAAATGATAATTCCTGTGCTCATTATGCATGAAGTTTTCTGCTGCTACAACCAAGTTCTCGTGCGTTCTTGGTCTAGTAATTCTTTGGATCCTTTGTTCTCATCTTTAATAGTGATATTACCCATATTTATGATGATTTCAATTAAACAATCATCATCAGATGACCATACACCTGGGATTTCATTCTCTCTTACTCAAATATTTCCGTCAGTTCCATGCGACGACATGTTGCAAGATGATGCCTGTCTCGTTCTTTTTTGTGTGTTGCAAAGTCGAATGAACTGAAAGAAGCTTCAAAAGAGTTGCGAACAATTTAGATTTAGTGATGAGAATATATGACATATGCTCTACTTCGGATAATTCTTCAATCACCAACAAGCTGAGAGAGTTGGCCACAGCTTTCAAACTGCGCTTTGGTCAGTTTTGCTGTTTTGGGTCCAAATTCAAGTAACAACAAAGCTCCCATTCGAATCTTAGCCTGGTAAGACAAACCATCTTACAGCAACAATACCTCGATTTATAAACCCTGGCTTGGGTGATTCTTGACCTTATATTATATATGTTTGATGATAGAGCTAAACACGATAACCGGTTCCAACTTCTCGAAGTCCAAAAAGGGGGCAGAAGTCAAAACCAAAATGACAGTTGAGCGCTCGATGGAGCTGGAAAAATGGCCTGAACAAAAGAGTAACCACTAATGCTGCTGGAAATTATCTAAACAATTTAGGGCCCTATTTCTTTCCCTTTTAACGCAAAATTTGACCATTGTCTGACTTTTACTAACCAAACAACCCAAAAACTGGTTTTTAACCACTTGGAGGTTAGTCTTCATAGGATGAAGGAAATCCACAAAGGGAGATAAAACCCATTGAAGATTGAAAACAATGCCAAGGATTAAAGTTCACACTTTAGTTTCTTCTTCCTTTTCACTCATGTTTTCAATGGTTATCTTTCTCTCTTCTTTGACGAGCATATATCTATGAGAACTTTAGTGCAAGCTTTTCAATTCAATGGGACAGCTTTTTTAAGATTTAACCCATATTTGCTGAGGTTGCTAGATTCTAGCATATCTACATTACTTCAAAACAACTTTTCAAACATTTGCTTATCGAAATTGATGATGCAAGAGAATTTAGTCGTTTGGCTTACCAACCATGATTCTTGAGGGTTAGATACATATCTTCAAGGCTTGGCTCATCTAGACCTAAGGACCTTAGAATTCTCATTGCCATAAATATTAAGGGGAAAACATACTTAAAAAGGAAACCTAGAACCTTTACTAAGGCCATTAGCTTTTTCAGGAGACAAGATTTGCATTTGCCCCAACCCATTAGTATTAGCTGAGTAAAGTAATCAATTGGCATGTCACTGGATGATTGGAACACCAGGATTATTTATTCTGTTTGTTCAGGAGCTTGATGTTTTCTTATTTTAGTCTTTAGCTAGTTTTTAATCAACTTTTCATTTCACCTTTAATGTTCAGACTTCCTATGTCCAACTCTACTTTAATAAACTTGGGATACCAACACTATCATGTGCCCAAGTGGACTGCTTATTGGACAACATAGTGCTTATCAGGCAATAATCTAGTAACATTCACCTTAAGTAAACTAGTCCGTATTAGGTTAACCACTGATCTCATAGATGTGATTGACTCATCCTCACACAATTGCAAGTTGATACAAACCGTTTACTCACAGAAGTTAGCAAATCAGGCCGTCTCCCGGTCTCTCTCCAGCTTTTCTCAATGTATTGCAATTAATCATAAATTTCTCTCATAATTTTGTTTTATAACGATGACCATTTCTCGCAGTCGAGGACATCAATAAGCTGTTTAAAGACAACAAAGAGATGTAAATATAATATTAATAAGCTGTTTACAGACAGCAAGAAAAACCTTTTAGCGGACTTCCGTAGATGGACAATAGTAATACATGTGCAAACCGGGGACCAGAAATTAACAATGTTATCCAAGAGTCTGCCATACAAAAACTTTGAGTAACACCTAGACATTGCCTTATATCTCCAGGGAAACTTAAAAGTTAGATTTAGTAAAACTAAGGGCATAAAAATTAGTTTGTCAAAGAAAACAAAAAACTAGCAGAGATTCAAAAGCATCAACTTAATTGAAGAAAAGAATAAAACCAAGTTCAAACCTGGAAAGATCCTTTTTCTTACGAAAGGTGGTGCGCAACATACTGGCTAGCACATTCTGCACAAAATCCTGGACTTCAGCATGGATAGTTTCCCACAGTGCATCAGCCACTAAGGTATCAACCTTCTGTAGCAATGATCCAATGCTTTTGATGTAGCTAACAAGTTCAACTAACGCTTTCCTTTCCTCAGAACTATAATTATATCGTACCACCTATGAGATATAGAGAAAGCATACATATTTAATTTTATATATACATATATTTATTACCAAAAGAAAGTATTCTCTATTACTATTCTAAATAAGCCTCCTAAGTGCTACAATGGCACTGCAACCGATTTTGTTCTGAGACAAGAACTGAGGAACAAAAACTCCAGTTCATGTTGTAGTGACTCAAATTGCAATAAGAACTACACCCAAAAGCAGCAGCACAGAAAAACCTCAGTAAAAATCTCCAAGAGAAGGGATGACAAGAAGACTGCATATTATTACCTTGCCAAGAATAACATTGGCAGATACACAGAAACCAAAGAATACATTTTTAAGCCATACACATTTTAGTAACAGCTAACGGGAATATAGGTTGACGAAAGAAATCCAAACCTTTTCGTAGTCAGATATTGGTGTCCCATTAGACTCCATTGGAACCGGAGGATCCTTGCATGGACGAGAAAATTTCCATGCACATTGTTCCCAAACACGTGAAGTCCATCTGCTCAAGAGTTGAAAACCTTCAACAACCATGTCATATACATTCCCCTTGACTTCCTTCACCCACTCGACATCTGCGTTATCAATGGATCTTAGCAACGCCAGCTGCAACAGGAGGACTTATCAGTAACAAGTTTTAACAACCAGATTATATACTGGTAAGGACCAGTCCTTTAACAGTTATTCCACAGAATCGGTCACATGTAGATTGTAATGAAAATCGCAAGTTTTAACAACCAGATTATATACTGGTAAGGACCAGTCCTTTAACAGTTATTCCACAGAATCGGTCACATGTAGATTGTAATGAAAATCGCAACACATATTCAATCGATAAAATCAAGACATCTAATTAAATATCCTTGGATGTACATTGATTCCGCAACAGAAATAAGAAAAATACTTGAATAGCCAGAGAAGGAAGAAAAACCTGATTCATAGCCGAAGAAAAACGTATGGAGAAGTCATCATGTTCAGAGCGTATTGTCCCGATGTGGTTGATGATCAAATAGTGTCGCTGATAAGTGAAATCAGTCAAGGTACCAATACATGGCAAAATTCTTTTTGAAGAATGATGATCAACCCAGAAGTCACTTTCGTTTCTTACACCTTATAACCATTAATACAGAACTAATACAGCTATCAGAAGGATTAATGAAACTATCAGTACTCAAAAATCAATTGTGGGGAAAATGACGACTTCCAAAATATTGAAAGGATATTCTTGGGCGTCACGTGGTGGAAGTTCATGGGTTGCTGGAAGAGTGAGAAGGCGAGCTTGGGATGAAAATTTAGGGAAGTACACAGATAGTTCCTTCAGTATAGCAGCTGGGGACAAGTGAAGATCAGGGAATGCAGGAATAACAGGATCATTCTGCACATTCACACGACAAAGGCCAACGAGAAAAAATGAAGATTAGTTGCTAATTACTTTAAAAACACTCCTATTTGAAAAAAGAATATTATATCAGAAACATATTAAAAAACTATGAATTGCGATAAAACAGGGAAGTGGGCATTAAACCTTAAATATATTGATCAATCTATTGATTTTCACCCTCTTATACAAGGACTCGCTGTCTTTCTCTGATGATGCCGCTAAGACAACGAGTACAGGCAAAATACGAAGAAGAATGTGCCGCTCCGGGAACAGAAGAGCAAAGTCCAATTCTAGCGACTCGACTGCAAATACTATAAGAACCTGAAGAATATCTTCCACACTAGGAATGTTAAGGAAGTTCAAGTGAATGTGGGAGAACAGGTTAAAGAAGCATAGCAAGAGTTTTACGAACATATGAACTTTGCCCAGCGGCAAATCAGCCAACGTGTTCTGGCTATTATGAAATTGTGTATCAGAAATCCACAGTGGAATTAGTTGCCTTTAAAGTATAAGGTGCTTTACGGAAACTGAATGCAAGGGCAGATAACATACTAAAAAACAGCAACTATAATTGAAAATATAGACTGCCAGAGCAGCAAATTCAATGGCATTAACATTTTAGTGTGGACAAACAAGTAAATGTACATTAACAACAATAACTAAACCTTAAGTTAACCATGAGAGATCAGATCTTTCATATCAAATATCTTTACTTTCATTAACTTTTGAGGTATCATGTCTTATTCACCATTTTCACTCTACTTGGGTCTTCATCTTCCCCTTCTAAAAGACATTTTCCTCCCCTGTGGTTTTTGTGATTCTCGGTTTACTCCCTTGTATCAAAAACCGGAAGTGTCTCCCTTGGGATTTGGATTGCGCAATGAAAGGGACCTAAAATACAGTTATTGCTGAGAGCATGCACAAAACATGCCATAAGTGAGCTGTGCGCTAATACTGCCAATACCAACCACTTGACAGGAATACAATCACCCATTTGATCTGCATACCATTGACCTTAAAGGAACCACAATGATACATGGCAGGCATCCCCTGAATTTATTAATTAAGGAGAAAGCTACACAGAGCAACACATAAACCACATGATACTCTATAAAACAAGATAGACCCTTTTAAGACAAAATAAGAAAAGGAGAGGCACTGAACTTAACTACGTTGAATCCCTACTGTCTGCATTTCCTAGCAGCACCACATGGTTATAAACAAAGATAGATCCTCCTAAGATAAAACAGGAAAAGGAGAGGCACTGAACTTAACAGCGTTGAATCCCTATTGTCCACATTTCCTAATGTGTGGCATTGAGCTTTGGTCTAAACACCATTGACCTCCATCTACAAGCATTAATCAAAGGGTGAGTGTATTTTTGTCATTAAAGCAGTTAACATCAGCAGTAATAGTGGATAACGCACTTTTGACACGTTCTGTACACCTTCAATAGCTAGTATTTTATGTCCATTTCACATTACTATCCAAAGAATACAGGCCTCACTTGGGTTGTCTAAACTATGAGCAAATACACTGTGAATTGCAAAAAGCACATGAGAGGAATGTCTGCTATACCTTTTCAAAATATGATGTCCGTCAAAATAAAATGCAGTTCAACTATAAGCAGAAAAAAAATTATGTCAATCCTAACCAATGTCTCAGAACATGTCTAAGTAAATCATTTTAGGAAATAAAGCACATCAGAACTTTAGTCTAGAGTTAAAATCCAGACTGAACGAAGTGAGACGCTTTAATTTGACAGTTTTCGAAAGAGACAAATTTCTCTAAATCCCAACGATTTTATAACAATCATTAACTGGTCAAGGCCAATGATTCATGTACTATTGCGTGTGACAGGAAGTGACAAATTTTGCTTCAAAACAACTCAAATTCAATTCATTTTTGCCAAAATCAATGACATTTAGGCACCAAACAGAACTTTGTAATTATTGCAAATCTATCTCGACAAGAAACAAGGATACTTATTTACACGAAACATTTCAACGTGCAGGTTCAGTAAAATTGCCCATCTAGTGCTCAAGAAGATCTGCATAGTAGAACAAATAAAATCAAACCATGATGAAGGTAGAGAAGAGGCAAAGCAACCTCAGGCAGCATGTCCATAACATTCAAAAGATGAACTAATCTACTCTTACATACCTGTAAGTCGTCCAATTCCTCCCTCATGGAGTCGGTTTCCTGCCACTGTACGCTGACTTGTGTAAATGTCCTAGGAGTAGAAGTGATTCAATTAAAACAGCAGCTCAATCCAATATGGTAGTCACAGACATTCTTTAAGATAAGTTTCACATAAATCAGTAACGATTGCCTTTGTAAAGATGCTTACTCCAAGAAGAAAGTAAAAAGCTCTTAAAACTAATAAAACAAAATCCCATCAGCCCCTAGCAGTTTAAGCAAAATTTTGATGTCAGCAATGGACAGAGAGGATTAAGCGACTTAATATATTCAACTATATTATTATTTTTCATTAATAATAAATGATTTGCATGAAACTAATTAAGAAATAATTGATGATAACACAATACTATCTCTAGATCAGTTTGTCCCAGTGTCGTCTTTTCAATCTCTAGGAAAACCCTGCTCTTTCAGTTGTAAGTAGAAAAAGTATTAAGGAACTTCTCTGGTGGTTGGATTAGAAACCTTGAAAGTCGTATGGTATGTCTAGAGTTTATTGTACTATGATGTACCTCATTCTCACGACAGCCCTCCCTAAGATAAACTCCTAACAGAAGGCAAAAGCTCATCCCATGTGTTCAAGAAAGTTCCGCACACAACAAAAAGCTTGAAATATGAATGATAATTTTTCATAACCATACCTCTTATACCAAGAAAAGTCATTTGGGATGCTTGCTTTTGCATTTTTAAGATGATCAAGTTGGACCAATACATCAAGTAGCTTTAACATAGACCTGCAGAAAGTATCAAAATGTGTAATTATTTAGGGGTTCATTTAGTGGTCAGGAGGCAAGTAAATAAACTTTCTGATCCTGAGAACATGGCCATACTTTATCAAAGTGGGATGAGATCTAAGGATATCTAATAAACAAAAACTATCTACTAAAAGCAAAAAATAATTCTACATTTGGCCAACTCCAAAGGTTTGAGGAAGTCAAATCAACAACAAATAATTTTACTTAAAGCAAAGCACTTCATAAAGGCCAAATAAAAGATGAGAGACTCATTTAACAAAATTCCAGAGAAAACGGTCAAGTATTAGTGAAATCTGTTTCATGAAAAGGTCAAATGTATGTACACACCAGAGATGGGTTATACTAGGACCATTAATCCGCCGCTCGGGCCTGGAAAATCGTTGCATATCTGCAGCTAGCTGCATTAGATAGAGTATCCTTAGTTTAGGTGTTTGTGTGCTGGATACCTAGGATTCACGACATTAAAATAAGCATGGAAAGTAAGCATGCCTTAGCCGATGCTGATGCTTGCCAGCGCTGGATTTCTCGCAGACGACTCATTTCCAAGTCAAGAACTTGATAAGTTTCCAGATACAAGTCAGCCTGGCTTTGCTTCATTGACTCTGGTAGCTGCCAAAAACAAGTTCAACACTTCTCAACCACAGTGATGCAAAAGGTTCCAGAAATTTAGGTAGCTTCCTATTAGGACTTAGAAAATAGCTAGACTCTTCTTAGAATAAAGTTTCCTTTTAGTTTACTTTCTATGTTGCTATATTACGTCAAAGATCGATTAGTTTTAGGCAATCCTAGTATCTTAAGGAATAAGCCTGCCATCTCTATAAACAGAGCAGTTCTGCAGCAGTTGTGGTTCACATTTTCTGATTTATATTATTAAGCTTTTCTAGCTTCGAAGACTCTGTCTTTCTTAAATCCCTAAAGCTAGGGTTTGCCTATCTCGTTAGTTTGCTATTCCGTCAGTCTATTCCGATCACACAGAAAAGTTCACAAATCATTTCCATGACCATTTAAGTGATAAAATGAAGTTAGAAATAACAAAAAAGAGAGGAAACACAAGCCATTTGCTATAAGAACCTACACATATTGAAATCAACCAGCTCATTACAGTATCAAGCAAAGTCAAGTCTAACGCCGCACCCTTCAACATAGTAATGCCGTCGGAAACACCATTACATGCTTACTAATTTAGTTTCTCCAAGCCCCCTTATTTTTAAACTTCCTTTTCCATGAACCATGTTAACACCAGAAACATCAAACTATTTTAGGACAAGTCAAATCACAAATCAAACATGAAATACAATAAGTCCGAACAAGGTTAAATTGAAAACTAGAAATTCAGACACTAGTATCAACCTGGGGAAGGGCTTTTACGCAGCTTCGGTAAGTATACAGCACTGATCCCATTTCCTTCCCTTCTTGAATCAACGAATTCTGCCACAAGCAGCATGTTTGAAAAAGTTTCCCAGAAAAAAAAAACAAATTTTAAAATAGATGCATCCCACAAAAAAAGAGCATAACAACAAAGTAAAGATATCCACACCAGCTGATTAATGGCTTTAGTGTCTTCTGACAAAGAAAGTCGATAGGCCGAAACATCACTATATTCTGGAGAAAAAGAATAGAACAAAATTTCAAAAAAGAAAAATCATATATTTATAATTGTAAAACATGAGCAAGTAAAAGCTAGACAAAAAATAGTTACACTGAAGAAGGGGGAAAAAGAAGAAAGGAAGAAAGAAACAATAGGGTTTACCAATAGGGCTACTACTGAAAGCTCTTTCAGAGGAAACCCAGAATCCGGGGCCTTGAACTTCTGGTTGGTCATCCTATAGGTATGGAAACAGATAAAATTACACATAGACGAGGAGTTGTGAAGTAAGAATGGTAAAATGTAATGAATAAACCAGTAATCAAGTGTAGATTACCTCTAACGAGAATGTGGATAAAGCAGCAATTGCCTCTTCAACAGGAACAGCCAT